TGCCAAATCAAACTACAAAATGCAAAAATGTTTAAACATTATTAGCCAGTTAGACCTGTCTGCAATTTCTAACATCATTGTGCTCCTGCACCATTACAATGGCAGTTCTCTTATAGAATCTCAAAAACAGCCTACTAGTTTCCACTATCTTTCTTCTCTGATTCATTTAAAATGCAATCCAATCAAGATACTCTCCTGTTTACAACACTTTAATGGATTCTTATTGCTTTTGAGATTCCTGCTTTCATTTCTTCATTGAATACTAAATACTTAGGAAGTACTAACAATGTGTCCCACTATGGCACACAAGGTCTTTAGTAATCCCATCTTTTAAAATCAAAATGCCTTTGGCTCTGGTAATTTTTCTTACTCCCAGTTGCCTCAATACCCTATGGTCTTTCCTACCATCCCATACCTTTCACTTACTGGGCTCCATGCTTGCATGTTCTTCTTTCCAACTTGTTTGTATGACATGATTCATCCTTCAGGATCCAGGTTGACTCTGCCCTTGACTGTGAATATTTCCTGAAACTTTCCCAATCCACAAGGAAAATGTTATTACTCTCAATTCTGCATTCCCATAGCACTTTGCACACATTTTTTTTTATCACAGTATTTGTCCTTTGTGTATCATTTATTGATATATGTTTTGTACTACCAGGAAACTGAGTTTTCCAAAAGAATAGAATGTGTTGAAGCAGACGTTGATGAAAAGTAGGTTCCAATATTATTTAATGAATAGCTCCCAGCTCAAAAATAGGATTCAATTTAAACAGTTGTGACAGGAGTTTCCTTTTTCCTGATATGTGTGACTGTTGGTTGGCACAGGATTCTTTCATTGCCATGTAGAAGAATCATGTTACTATCAAACCATTGGAAATACATAGAACCCCAATTATTACAGTCATAGGAACATCTATGTCACAGGAGTTTGCTTTAAGTCGGGTTATATAGGAGATATATATAGGATGGTGTATAAGATTAACTCATAAAACCAAAATCTCAGTGCTTTTTTGAGTCATCTGTTTTCAATGCCATTCAAGTCAATGAATACACATGTTTATAATAGTTAAGGATCTCCCAATTACTTTACTATCAACTTATAACTGATTCAATCAACAATGAATAGGACCACCAATCCTTCTTTAGTATGTCACAATTTCTGACCCTTATTTTACTATTTATTGATGATTTATTGCCATATTCATTCCAGTTCACTATAATAGATTTCAGTTGAATTGAATTAAATACATTTATGTTTATTACCTATAAATGAAGAATACAGCTTTTATTTTAACCATTCTGTGGCATAATTATAATTTAGAATCAAATAGATGATGCAAAATTTAACTTATATAGCACTTTGCAATTAAAGGACTTATTTCAGACCTTAACAATTCATTACATAGAAAAACTGTGTTTTTGTGAAAATTGCTGCCACCTACCTGCACATTGCAAGCATACAGGATTAACTTGGTGATTATGATCCAGGACAGCATTTCTTCCTGAAGGTAGTTTTGTCAGAAAAGGCTATTTAATGTAAATCTCCTTCACAGTGGAACCAATATTTGGCAATAAAGAGTAAGAAAAAGATTAAATATTTATGTAAGAAAATAAAAACAGGTCAAGTATGGTGGTGCACACTTGTGATCCCAGTTACTGAGGAGGCTGAAACAGAAGGATCAAGTGTGAGCACAGCTTCAGCAACTTAGTGAGATGTTTGTCTCAAAATAAAAATGAAAAAGGAGTTCAGTTGTAAAATACCCCTGAGTTCAATCCCCAAAAAAAGAAAAGCTTATTTCATCTTAACACATATTAATTCTTAATTGGAATTATGCTATACATTTTAGAATAAATTCTTTTAGTATAAATTTTTTGAAAAAATAATTTTATGATACTAACTTTCTAATTTTTACTTTTGACATTGATATTTCTAAAAAAATAATCAAAATGTCTGTCCTCTTTTACTTAATATAATGTTTCTGAGATTTATTCATAAGCTTGTATTTATCACTAGTTTGTCTTTATGGCTGAGAAGTATTCCACTGTATCAAAGTAATACAATTTATCCGTTCACAAAGACAGATGATTGTGCTCAACTGTAGTATGACTGAAGAGGACTAATTTTTTAAGCAGTCAGGTCACTTGTGAATATATTTGTGCTCTGACTTTTATTTCTTTATGGAGTCTTGTTATTAAAGAAACTTTAATATTAAATACCCATAACTATTCAATGGAAAATAAAGTTCTAGAATAAAATGCTCTTTGAAAATGTTTTACCATTCATAAATTTTAAATTAATTAAATTATAGGTAACTACAAGCTTTTACTTCCTTTTCAAACTAAATTTTTGGATCCTTTATTTTCCCTATATACTCATTTAATGTACACATGTACTTTCATAGACTGATACATTAACACACATAGCTTTTGCATGACACACACTTTTTACCAAGAAGTAATGATAGAAACCTTAAAGATTTAATCAGTTGTTATAGTAGTTCATAAGGAATGATCTTGATGTATTTTCAAAGGGATTTATAATAACAAACCTGTTTTTTTTAAAAACTAAATATCACTTCACCATCAATCAACAACCATATTTTAGGATATTAAAACCATGCTGTGGCTATTAAGTACTGTACTTGGATGGATATAAATGGAACTTGGAACTGAAAAGTTTGTGTGGAAACTGTGGTTTCCGTAACTATTTTCATAAGATTACGTTTCCATTTCTCTCTAGATTAGTCCATCTCTACCATGCTCTGTGCCTATTTTACATCAGAACAAGCCTTTGCATTTCAGTTTTCTTAAAATAATTGTGGGAGTTCCTGTTTCCAGTGGAAGCAGGAGGGTATAATTTTACATGTGTATTTTACATCTGTTATTGTGTTTGCTAAAATTCTCACTGGAAGCCAAGAGTGTAATGATTAAGAGCTCAGTTCTGGAGACAGAATTCTTGGGTTAATACCCAGTTTGGCTATTTATTGGTGGTATGATTTGGGGCATGTTACTTAAGTCTCTATGTCCCAGTGCCCTTTGTCTATAAAATAGGGAAATAATTGTCCTCTCATAGGGATGTTCCAAATGCTCAAATGAATGTGATGCATTTATAGAGATTGGCATGTGGTATGCATTTTTATTATTATGTATTACCAATGTGATAATACCAAATTGTATATAATATAGATTGATTGGAAAAACTTTTAAACATAGTAAAATGAGAAACTTCCATAACCATACCAATTTCTTTCTTATTAAATTCTTACTGTCTTCCAAGACAGTAAGAATTTTTTTCTTTAGCTTTTTTCCTTCACAATACACTCAATATCAGTATCACAATGCTTAGATCTTAACAGGAACTGTTTAACCCTACAGCCTCAACAACGTTATAATAATTTCCATTTTACATGCAAGGAAATTGAGCAACAGATGATTTAATTAGATTGCTCATAAAGGCATAAGTAAAAGTGCAACACAGGTCTGTCTGATTTCAGAGTTTATAACCTCTTTCTTCTCAACCACTAAATAAAATTAGTAAAATAAAAACTTAGTTTTAATGGGTGACAGCATTTGTTACAGCATTACAAGTTTTTAAAAATTATTAGCTCAACTTATGATTAGTGAGTTTATTCAATAAGTAATCTACTTTCTGATTAAAATTTTCTTGTAATTTTTAACTAAATCATAAAAATCAGACAGGATTTCATAGTCCTACACAAGTAAGGTGGGAAGAAGTCTTCAGAGTACCTAATTTATATTTCCATTGTATCACTAAGGAAACATCCAGAATGAAAACAAAATGTTGCTCTAGATGAATTAGCTACATAATGGTTAGGCCAACTTCAGATCTTCTGGTATAGATTTTTTTCCTTTAAAATACACTCAATATCAAATAATTTATCTAGAACCAGAATTAAAAGAATATTTGGCAGCTGTGAAATGTATGTTTATTTTGATACTTCTAATTAGGGTACAACTAATTCAGGACAAAGAACCAGCTTGATTTTATATTATTTCTTTAAGACTGATTTTTTTTTAAGAGAGGGAGAAGAGAAGAGAGAGAGAACGAGAATTTTTAAATATTTATTTTTCAGTTTTCGGTAGACACAACATCTTTATTTTTATGAGGTCCTGAGGATGGAACCCAGCGCCACGCGCATGCCAGGCGTTTTACCGCTTGAGCCACATCCCCAGCCCAAGACTGATTTTTTTAATAGTATCAAATTTGGGATCCTCAAATTTGACGTTAGGGAAACATATTCATGTTTGCTTTATCACACATTTTTTAAGCTTAAAAAGCTCTTTCCAGCACTTGCTGATACTCTGGGTAGTATCAGCAGGTCCTCCAGATGCTTATCGCTTAGATTTGTATTCCCTAATTCTGTCCAGAAGAGTTTCCGTAGAAGGTCAAGTTCCTTATTAAATGCCTCCGCAGTAACATCCATTTTCCTCCGCAAAAGTGCGGACAGAGAGAGAGCAGCGTTAGCGCAGTCCGCTCCCGACATCATATTGATATATATTTACAAGATTATTTATTATTGGTAATGCTTCATAAAAAATAATATCTACATACTTGAAAAAAGAATACAAGCCCTCCCTGTCATCACCATTATTATTTTCAGAGATGACGAATCAGCAAGGATAATCATTCTCTTCAAAAAGTGTTCTGCAATATCAACTTCTTGTCCAAGTATTATTTGTTGTTCCATAGTAGAATTTTGTTGAGAAGTTTTACAGCGGGCTCAGGGAGCAAATACGGTCTCAAGACTGTGCCTTCCGAATAAAACAGTCCAGCCTCGGGGCTGTCCACGGCGAGGGGCCGATGGGGGGAGGAACGCAAGAACAGACTGTACGCAGGCGGAACTAAGAACCCGGCTGCGGAAAAAGGGACTGTGCTAGCGCCGTGAGGGGGCGGGTCCAATAACGGCTTGTTTTCTATTGGGTGGTGCGGCCAGTTCTGCGCATGTGCGGGCCGTTTCAAACCCCGCAGCGGGCGGGTCTTCTTGTTTGTTGAGGAGGGAGCCAATTGGGCAGGGAGCGACGGAAGCGCGTGCACCCGGGAATTCAGGGGTGTTCCTGGGCCTGGGTCTAACCGCCTGTCAGGTGTTTGGGTATGTGCTCTGCCTTCTCCAGCAGTAGCTCCCGTGGACTTCCTCCTCAGGTTCCCTGCGTGGGCGGAGCTGGGCCGGAACATGGCGAAGTCGGGTCTGGTAAGTTCGGGCCCTGGCCCCTGCCCGAGAGCAGAAAAGCGGTCGCCCTTGGTTTGGGCGGCCTAGCTGGGGAGAAGGAAACATTGGGCCGAGGACACTGTGGCTCCTCCAGGATTTCCGTAGAAAACCATAATTTCCTTATATTATTTTCTCAGAGTTTCATGTAATTGCGTTTTTTCTCTAACTGCGTTTTCTCTCTATAAAACTTGTGATTTCTACCTGTTAGCTTAGTTGTATTTCCTAGACCTCCAAATGCGACCTACCTATATTAGACGTATACCTTTGTTTCAGTTTTGCTGGTCTGGAGAAAGAGATTACTGATTATGTAACGTGTCTGGAAAAAAAAAATCCGACGTACTCTTGTCAAAATGTTGAGACTTGTATGCAGTTGAGGCGAATATTTATGGGAGCATTTCTTATTGAGAAAATCTTATAAAAAGCAGCTATTAGTTAAAAGGTGCAACTTTGAATGACTAATGAGGACCAAGAACACTTTGTTTCCATGTTTCCAAGTACCCTCAATATTCAATAGTCTGTATTTTAGACTTTGCTATGGTATTCTAAACTCATCATTTCTTATCCTAAGTTTGTATTTTCTGATTCATCTCTTTTAAGAAAATATTCAACATGATGATCCCCCATTATGTAAAGTTGTGTATGCTTAGAGATATATGAAAGGATAGCATAGTGTGTGCTTCTTACGAAGAGCATGTACATTGTTTACGTTATACATAATCAGAAAAAAAGCCATTCTTGGGGAAGATGAGACTAGAACTTGCGGAATCACTACAGTTCTCTTTTTTAAAAATATTTTTAGTTGTAGATGAACACTTAATTTATTTTTTTATGTGGTGCTGAGAATCGAACCCATGCCTCACATGTGCCAGACAAGTGCTCTACCACTGAGCTACAACCCCAATCCCTACAGTTCATTTTTCAAATGCCTGTCATAAACTTAGAACTCTTTTTGAACCTTTTAATTCTAACATTTGACTGCTATAATCCATTTAAAAGACAAGGGGAAAGAGAAATTGGGAGGTTCTGCTCAGCCATTCCTGTGGTTCTCAAGGCAGGGGTGGGGGCAGAGGGTGAATTGCTCTGTGGAACGTATTTGGTAATGATTTGGAGAAATTTTTGTTTTTTCCTAGGTAGGGGTGATGTGGAGGATGAGGGAGTGCTACAGGTCACCTAGTGGGCAGAAGAGGAGGGTGCTGTTAAGCATTCTTAATGAATGGCACAGGCCCACACAACAAGGAATTATTCCATCCAAAATATCAGTAGTTGGGGTTGACAGATCCCAAATATTGATATACAATATTATATTTTTTGAGAAACATAATTTCACTTTGAGTGAAAAAACCAACATTGAAATCAACTGAAGAATAAGTTGAAAGTGACAGTGTATATTTATTTTGAAAATTAGAAATTTTTATGTTCTGACTTGTAGAATTTAGGAACCTTATTTGTCTTGTTCATCACTGGCTTTCTTTCTTTCTTTCTTTCTTTTTTCATTACTGGCTTTCTAGTGTGCTTAAATAGCACTTGGCATTCTGATAGATTAGTATTTGTTGGACAAACGAATTTCCTGGAATCTTGGCCTTAAAATTTTCCTACTTAAAAGAAGAACAGGTAGTACTTTACAGGTTTTAAGTTTCAGGGTGCAGATTGGGAACGCCTTCAATTTATTAAGTGAAATAGAAAAGTGGCTATAAATTATGCTTTGGAAGTTTGTGTAATATTCTTAGAGTTGAATTTTTACTTTATTGTTTCACAGTGTTGAGTACTAGAAAGAGACGTAGGTGCTTGAATTAAAAGTTCCCATCTTTGTTTTACTCTAATCAAGAGTGGTGAAGATCAAAAATACAAACAATAATAAATGCTGGTGAGGTTGTGGGGAGAAAGGAACACTTATACATTGCTGGTGGAACCGCAAACTAGTACAACCACTCTGGAAAGCAGTTTGGAGATTGCTCAGAAAACTAGGGATGGTACCTCTACGTGACCTAGCTATCCCACTCCTGGGTATTTTCCTCAAAGATCTAAAATTGGCCTACTACAGTGACACAGCCACATCAATATTTATAGCAATATAATTCACAATAGCTAAATTGTGAAATCAACCCAGATACCTGTCAGTAGATGAATGGATTAAGAAATTGTGTTCATGTTCTATTCAGCCATTAAAAAGAATGAAATTATGGCATTTGCTGGTAAATGTATGGAAATGGAGACTATTGTGCTAAGTGAAATTAGCCAAACTAAAAAACTCAAAGGTCAGATGTTTTCTCTCATATGATAAAGCTAGAGTAAAATAAAGGAAAGGGAGAGGGAAAACTAGGAAAACATAAAGAACCAATCAAATAAATTAATAGATGAGTGAAGGGAAGTCTAGTAGAGTAGAGGAAGAAGATGGGGAGGTTGGGAGGATTGGAGGGAAAAGGGGTGATCATGAACTGAAATTGATTTCCATGCATGTATGAGTTTATTGGGATGAACCCAACTACTATGTGTAACCATTAAGCTAAAAAAAAAAAAAAGTCTCCATGTTTGAATAATAGCAAAACTATTGTAATAACAGGACAGAGGGTATATATAGCACAGTAGTAGAGTACTTGGTCTAGCCTGCACAGGGTGCTGGGTTTGATCCCCAGCACTCGAAAACCAAACAACAACAACAAAAAGACTTATAGGGCTGGGGTTGTGGCTCAGCAGTAGAGCGTTCTTCTTGCATGTGTGAGGCCCTGGGTTCAATCCTCAGCAGCACATAAAATTGAATAAAATAAAAGTATATATTAAAAAAAAAGACTTGTAATATAACAGAGACCTGATAGATATTTCTGTCTCTTAGTTTGTCATCTGTAAAATACATTCCATCTTTTATTTCTTAGATACTTCGAGAATATGATAAACTCTCACCTTCATTAAAGAAAGACTTTTAAAATAAATTTTCTTATTGACATCTCTTTTTCTAATTTTTTAAAATTGTGGATGAATCTTTATTTTATTTATGTATCTTTTTTGATATTAATATGGCCTACAGACTAGGCAAAGGTCTGGGAAGAATATAAATTAGCTCAAGACAAAGTTCTTAAGTTTCTTAAAATCTAATAGAGGCTTTTGTTTTTCTATTTCTGTTTTTCTTCCTTTCCTAAATAATTGAATTCTAAAACCATTAAGTGGGGCCAGGCAAGACAAGTATCCCTGTGGGTGGGGAACTCTAGTGGCTCAGAGCAGGTATGTAGGACCCTAAGCAGGGTTGAGAGTTTAGCCTTTTCAGGATGCCAGTGTGTGAGTCAGGTGAATATTGCATCCATGTGAGTAGAGGACAGCTTGTGTGGGGCATATGAGTTCAAGCACAAATAGGAGATATGCACATAGGAGGATTCCTGGAAAGGTGTTGGAACCCCAAGTGAGGTGAAGGGATCATTCCTATCGATAGACGTTTTAGTGTGGAGTAGGGAAGGCATGTATGCAGAAGGGGAAATCTTGGCCTAACATGGTAAGTGAGCCTAAGTGGTATCACAAGGACATCTTCACAGGACAGTGCCTTGCCTAAGGTGTCAGAGCCTGAGCTGAGTAAAGAGGGAATATGTATGACAGAGGTGATTGAGTCCCAGGGGGAGAGCTTCTGTAACTGAGAGGAAGGTGGGAAGTTTGAGGCCTAGCAGTGTGCGGAAGTGCCATGATAGGGGTTAGTACTTATCTCCAAGTTGATAGACTTGGAGAATGCTCAAATAAGTGAGGGAGTATGTGTGTATTTTTCATTATTAAGAATTTTTCTTGCTCTTTGTTCAGTGTTTATAGTATGCTACTTTGGTTTTATGAATCTAGCATTTCAGATATCTCTTGAAGGTATTAGAACTTTCTTATTTTTGAGGTTTTCTTCTTTCCCATCATTGATATTAGTTTTTCCTTGGATCTTTTTTTTTATTTTTTTAAAAATTATATCTTCATTTTTTTTCCCATTTTTGTTTCAGGGACTTACATGTGTGGCAATCCATATTGTTAATTATATTTGAGACTGAGACAAATGAATACTGTTTGGGATAGGAGAAGCTTGAGTCTACTGTTCTGTATAGAGGTTTTCCTTTAATTGTACTGCTTTTATTCTCTTTTCTTGATCCTTGCCTCCTTTAGTTCTTAATTTCCTACTTACGCACTTTTTAATGGTTTTTTCCTAGCCAAATCAGCATCCCTTCTCATTGACAACAGTATCCTATGAACTTACTTTAGGCTGCTATTGCTTTCATTTCTGTTTCATCATTTATTACTCTTCATGTATTTTTTTATCTTCCGGTAATTTGTTAAGTTTGTTTATGTAAATGGTGTTATCTTTCATGATCCTTTTTCATAGTTGTTTTATGTCATGTTAGTTCTTTATTATTCTTTTAGTGGGAATCTTCCTGTGGGGAAGGGATATAGTAGATATTGGTAGTCAACCAACTTGAATTACTGGAAGCCCAGATAGTTAGATTTTTGATAATGGAAAAGGTATGAGTGGAGGTGAAGGAAGAAGAGGAATAAAATAAATTATACCTGGTTAGGGGTGAGGAGATAACATCAAAAATGTTTGGAAATAGTAGGTATGAGGTGTATTTCTCTTCTACTCGATCCATTCTCTCTCATTGTAACATTATGATAGGTGATTAAAAATACTTAATAAATAAAGAAATGAACATTTTTGGCATGCCATTATTGGAATGAAATTAGTTTGAAAGTAAGTTGTATTTGATTACATTTGAAGTAAAAGTAGTAAGTTGGTAATTAACTTTTCTTTCAGGATCATCTCAAAAATGGCTACAGAAGAAGATTTTGCCGACCTTCCAGGTAATTTATATATATTTAACCTTGTAAGACTTATGTTCTAATACTGACTCTGCATTATTATCTTTGGCACATCATCTTTATTTTGGTCTTTAGAAAGTGGATTTTTAAATGAAGAAAGGAAAAACTGTTACTTTCTAATATATATTATGATTTGTGAGTACATGTACATATATTGTGATTTGTCAGTAGCAGACAGACCTGATTTTAAAAAGTAAATATGTTAGGTAGAAGTTAAAAAAACTAGATCATATGAATAGAGCCAGAAGACTGATACGTTAGGCATTAGGTATCTTTTATACACTTGAATAATCTGTTCTAAAATCCTCTTGGAATAGGCCAACCAGATGTAAATACACACAAACCCATGTAGATGCACACTTTATAAAAAGCAAAGAAGATGGTATTTGTAGAATAGCTTAATGCAGGTGTTGTAGTAATCAAGGTTTGGTGGAGTGGTTTTATATTAAGGTATTAATGAGAATGGGGAAGAAGAGATGAATTGGAGAAAATTTTTCAAAAATTTCAATACTTGGTAAGTATAAATTATTTTTTGTCTTATAAAAATTCAGAGACTTTATTCAGTTTGCTAGCTGCCAGATTGTATCCATACTATGTCATTTAGATTTCTTGTTTGACAGTCTGGTTGATAGTGACATATGTTCTAATACTGACTCTGCATTATCTGTCTTTGGCAAGTCATCTGATTTATCCCAGATTTATGCTTCATAAACATCTGATTCACCCTAAAAAAGATGCTCTAACTAGTCTCAGGGAAATGACTGATTTTGTGTTTTTCTGCAAAGTTCTAAAGGAAAGTTTATGCATATATTGGGATGATAATTATTGGTCTAGGTATTTCTGAGATCTTTCAGTAATAAAATTCTGTGATGCATTTTTAGTCAGCTTTTTTTGTGACTGTGACCCCAAAACCCAACAAGAACAATTAGAAAAGGAAAAGTTAATTTTGGCTCAGTTTCAGAGGTCTCATTTGATGATAGATGACTGACTCCATAGCTCTGGGCTTGATGTGAGGCAGAACATAATGTCAGAGGGGTATGGTGGAGGAAAGTGGCTAAGGACAAGGCCACCAGGAAGCAGAAAGAGAACCACTTACCAGGACAAAATATAAACCCCAAAGGCATTCCCTCAGTGATCTATTTCCTCCAGCCACACTTGACCTGCCTATAGTTATGGACCAGTTAATCCCTGTCAGTGGATTCATACACTGAGTTGGTTAAGTTCTTATAACCCAATCAATTCACCTCTTACACTTTCTTGCGTTGTCTCACACATGAGCTTTTAGGGAACACCTCATATCTAAGTAATAACAATGGATAACCTATTAATGTATTGTGGATCACAGTCTTGAGTTACTTTATAACATAATACTTTTCTAATTCAAGAATAAAAGGAATGTAAATGAGGAGTTAATAAACTACAGCCCATAGACTGGCTAATTGTTTTGTCACAGATTTTGGTTCAGTTTTATTGGAACAGAGCTAGAATGGCACAGTTGAGTAATTGTGACAGACTATACGGTTTATAAGTTAAAATATTGACCAATTAGTCTCTTGAGCCAAAGTGTGCCCTTGTCAGAGGTGCATATCAGAATTTTGTACTGATTGAAATCTACATGTCTTTCAGCAGGTAGATGATTAAGACTGTGGTACACTGCAGCATAGGATACTATTTAGCACTGAATAGGAATGAACTGTTGATACATAGTACTTGTGGAAACACATATAATATGTATGAATCTCCAGAGAATTATGCTAAGTGAAAAATTTCAATGCATGCTTTTTGATTATTTATATACATTTTTTTTTTTCTTTTTAATGACAGAACTTTAGAAATGGGGGCCAGATTAGTGCTTGCCAGGAGTTAGGAATGTGAGGTTAGAGAGAGGTGGACATATTTATAAAAGGCAATAGGGAGATCTTTATGGTTATCCGACAGTTCAGTATTTAGACTCTGATTGTGATATTAGAACCTACAGATATAGTATGTTGTATAGAACTAAATACACACCTACAAACAGACTTACAGAAATGAGTGCATATAGAACTGGAAATCTGATAGGTAGATTTTTATCAATAACGTCCTGGTTGTGATATTATGCTGTAATTTTGCAAAGTGATACTGTTGGAGGGAACTGGATTAAGTGAACAAAGGAGCTCCTTTATTTTGTATAACTGAATGTGAATCTAAAATCAATGTATTTCTATAATCAGTATACTTGTTACTGAACTGACTGATAAGCTGTTAAATTAATGATATTGAGTCAAAAGTGTAGAATTTGTAGAGGTGTAGGTTGCTATTAGGACTTGTGACTGTAAAGTCATCATTAAAGAAGGTGCTTTTAGATAGGCAGAATTGATATTATCAAAATGGCCATACTTACAAAAGCACTATACAGATTTAATGCAATTCTGATCAAAATTCCAATGACATTCCTCATAGAAATAGAAAAGGCAAACATGAAATTCCTCTGGAAAAAGACCCAGAATGGCTAAATGAATCCTTAGCAGGAAGAGTGAAGCAGGTGGCATCACTATACCAGACCTTAAACTATACTACAGAGCAATAGTAACAGAAACAGCATCGTATTGGCACCAAAACAGACTGATAGACCAATGGTACAGAATAGAGGACACAGAGACTAACCCACAAAACTATAATTATCTTATATTAGACAAAGGTGCCAAGAATATGCATTGGAGAGAATATAGCCTCGTCAACAAATGGTGCTGGGAAAACTGGAAATCCATATGCAACAAAATAAAATTAAATCCCTATCTCTCACTATGCACAAAACTCAACTCAAAATGGGTCAAGGACTTAGGAATACAACCAGATACCTGTGTATAATAGAAGAAATAGTAGGCCCTAATCTCCCATCATGTGGGATTAGGCCCCAACTTCCTTAATAAGACTCCTGTTGCACAAGAATTAAAACCAAGAATCAATAAATGTGATGGACTCAAACTAAAAAGTTTCTTCTCAGCCAAAGAAACAATCTGTGAGGTGAATAGAGAGCCTACATCCTGGGTACAAATTTTTACCCCTCACACATCAAATAGATCACTAATTACTAGCAGATATAAAGAACTCAAAAAACTAGACACCAAAAAACCAAATAACCCAATCAATATATGGACCAAGGACTTGAAGAGAACTTCTCAGAAGATGAGGTACAATCAATCAATAAACACATGAAAAAATGTTCATCATCACTAGCAATTAGAGAAATGCAAGTCAAAAGTATTCTAAGAGTTCATCTCACTCCTGTCAGAATGACAGCTATTATAAAGACAAACAACAGTAAGTGTTGGTGAGGATGTGGGAAAAAAGGTACATTCATACACTGCTGGTGTGGGACTGCAAATTGTTGCAGCCAATATGGAAAGCAGTATGGAGATTTCTTAGAAAATTGGTAACAGAACCACCATTTGACCCAGCTATCCCTCTCCCCGGTCTATACCCAAAGGACTTAAAAACAGCATACTACAGGGACACAGCCACATCAAGGTTTATAGCAGCACAATTCACAATAGCTAAATTGTGGAACCAACCTAGATGCCCTTCAGTAGATGAATGGATTAAAAAATGTGGCATATATACACAATGGAATATTACTCAGCAATAAAAGAGAATAAAATCATGGCATTTGCAGGTAAATGGATGCAGTTGGAGAAGATAATGCTTAGTGAAGTTAGCCAATCTCAAAAAAACAAATGGTGAATGTTTTCTCTCATGTAAGGTAACTGACTCATAGTGGGGTAGGGAGAGGGAGCATGGGAGGAATAGAGGAACTCTATATAGGGCAGAGGGTTGGGAGGGAAAGGGAGGGGACATGGGGTAATTAATGATGATTGAATATGATGATCATTATTATCCAAAGTACATGTATGAGGACACGAATTGGTATGAATATACTATGTATATAACTAGAAATATGAAAAATTGAGCTCTATATATGTAATAACACTTGTAATGCATTCTACTGTTATATATAAATTTTTAAAAAGTTAAAAAAAAAAAGCATTTCAGGGCTGGGGATAATAATAGTTCAGTGGTAGATCTCTTGATTTGAATGTGCAAGGCCTTGAGTTTATTCCCTACCATTACATTTAAAAGAAGAAAAAAAGCATTTCAGGATTAATGGGATTCATTCAAAAAACTTTGTTATTGAAATACAGCTGTAGTCTAAAACAATTTTTAACAATTAATATTTAACAGGAATAAAATTGTTTATGTAACATGACATACTTTTTTTCATATTATAAAGAGAAGAGTTCACTTGAGGGAACTCTTAGACCCTTAAGTACTTTTTTTGTGTTCAAATAGTAAAAATATTTTTTCTAAGCTGAATGTGATGGTGCATACCTGTAATTCCAGTGACTCAACAGACTGAGGCAAAAGAATCACAAGTTTGAGGCCAGTCTCATCATCTTATTGAGATCCTGTCTCAAAATAAAAAAGACTGGGGATATGGCTTAGTGGTAAAGCACCTCTGAGTTTAGTCCCTAGTGCGAGAGTGGGTGAGTGGGGGCATGCATACACACACACACACACACACACACACACACGTTTTTCTATTAAATTAAATAATTGACGTTTCTTGGTGATAAGATATGGATTTTCAAATAAATGGATAAATGGTAATGAATAATAAGTATCTTTCAGTAATGATACATTTTCCCTTTTTTTTTTTTTAGGGTACCTGATATTAATACAGGGCAAGGCCAAAACATGCTGGAAATCTTACAAGACTGTTTTGAAGAAAAAAGTAAGACTTCATTTCTGGATAGACTTTGAGGGTTGGAATGAATGAAAATGTAAATTTGTCATGTTAATTAATATCAAATGCAGCAAATATATTCTAGTGTTTAAACTTATATAAAATATTTTCCTCAGAATTTTAAGTATATATACAATTTTTTTTGCAACTACTGGTATATTAAGTACAGTATTGATTTTTTTAAAAACACAGTAATTTGCAGTGATTTGTAATCTGGAATTCCACACATAATTATTATACACAAGACAAAGTATTTCATTTATGAGTTGAGCATCCCTAATGTGAAAATCCAAAATCTGACATGCTCCAAAATCTAAAATTTTGAGTGTGGACATGATGTTACAAGTGGAAATTTCCATATGAGGAATCTTTTATTTCATGCCCCAGATTATTAAGCGTTATGTAAAATTACCTTCATAACAATGTATCAGGTATATATGAATCAAATAAATTTTGTGTTTATACCTGGGATCTTTCCCCAAGATCTCATGTATTCACAGATATTCCAAATTTGAAATTATAAAATCCAAGTCACTTGTGGGCCTAAGCATTTTGGATAAAGAAAACTCTGATAGAAATAAATGTGCAGAAGTCTTGGGATCAGTAGAGTTTGAGATAATTTTTGCTAGTTTATATCCCTTTCTAAGTAGCAAATTACGGCAAAAAAAATTTAAGTGCTGATCAGCATCAGAAGGTATTCGAATAAGAAAGAAGGCCAACCAAGAAAATAATGAGTATTTTAGCTAGCTTTTTTGCTGCTGTGACTAAAAGACCTGACAAGAACAATTTTAGAAAGGAAAAGTTTATTTTGGAACTCATGATTGCAGAGATCTCAGTTCATAAACAGCTGGCTCTATATCTCAGTGCTTGAGGTACAGCAGAACAACATGTCAAAGAGTATGTTGGAGGGAAATAGCTCACATAATGATCAGGGAGCAGAGAGAGACTTCACTTGCCAAATATATATACCCCAAAGCTATGCCTCCAATGACCATTTCCTTCAGTCACACCCTATCCACTTTCAGTTACCACTCAAGTTAATTCCATTAGAGGATTAATTGACTGATTGTGTTAAGGCTCTCATAACCCAATCATTTCTCCTGTGTATCTTGCATTGTCTCACACATGAGCTTATGGGGGACACCTCCCATCTAAACCATAATAATGAGAGATAGATGGTGGATGCTGTGGTTGGATTATGTCCTCCCAAAAGTATGTGTTGGAAATTTAATCCCCAGTGCAACAACATCAAGAGATGAGACTTTTGAGAGGTGATCAGACCATGAGGGCTTTGCCTTCTTGAATGGATTAAAACTTGTTACTAAAGGTCTTGAGGCATAAGTTTAATCTCTTGCTCTCTAGTTTGCTCATACTCTCCTGCCTTCTTCTGTTTTCTGCCTTGGGATGATATAGCAAGGCCCTTTCCAGATGCAGGCTTCTTAATATTGAACTTCCCAATCTTCAGTGCCATAAGAAATAAATCTGTTTTTTGTAAGTAACCTGGTCTCAGGAGTTCTGTTATTATAGCATAAAATAGACTAAGACATTGGAAATGTGACTCCTGTATGAACTCTGAAAAAAGAACTGGCACATACTTTCTGAGAAATCTTGTTTGCTGTTCTGTTTCTGATGTCTTTCAGAAACATTTGAATTTTAATGTCTGTACTACTTTTAGGCTGATTGTGTATAGAATTAACAGACAATTCTTCACATGTCATATAGAGCTACATTGAATTGTAACCAATAGATATTGCATTTTGTTTTTAAAATTTCTCACTTTTCTTTTAGGTCTTACCAATGATTTTAGCATAAATTCTACAAAATCAGTGCGTTATTCGACACACAGAGTGAAAGACAATTCTATTCATTCCCCAAGCAAAGAGGTAAGCCAAAAAGGAGAACTGATACAGGTTAATTATTTTAATGAATGAAACTGCACAATGTACTTGTGTACCTTTCAGTTGTTTGTCTTATTTTGAAAAGAGAATGCTATATCCAAAGGACTTAACATTAGAATACTTTAGTGATGCAGCCACATCAATATTTATAGCAGCTCAGTTCACAATAGCTAAGCTTTGGAACCAACCTAGGTGCCCTTCAACAGATGAATGGATAAAACAAATGTGATATCCATGCACACAATGGAATATTATTTAGCTGTAAAGAAAAATGTAATTATGGCATTTGCCAGTGAATGAATGGAACTGGAGACTTTCATGCTAAATGAAATAAGCCAATCCCCCAAACCAAAGGCAGAATGTTCTCTCTGATATGCAGATGCTAATACACAATGTGAGGTGGAGGGAAGAATAGAAGTACTTTGGGTTAGACAGAAGGATTGTAGGGAAGGGAACGGTGTTGGGAATAGAAAAGACAGTAGAATGAATCAGACATAACTGTCCTATGTTCATACATGAATACACCACCAGTGTAACTCCAAATCACATACAACCACAAGAATGGAAAGTTATATTCCATGTATGTATAATATGTCAAAATACGTTCTACTGTCATAAAAAGAACAAATTAAAGAATAAAAAAATTAAAAGAGAATCCTGTATTCCCGTTCATTTTAAGAAGATAGGTTGATTTAACTATGCAATATATTATATTTTCTATTGAGATCTTTTTTCACTTTGTTTTTGCAGTTCCTGGGTTCATACCAAGTACTGCCCTGTGTATGCTAAGCACACACACCACTGAATTATAGTTTCCGCCCTAGTTATTTTATTTTATTTTTTTAAGTAAAACATGACATGACTCTTATTTTTAGCTTAAACATAACCTTGCTTCATAAATTTAATTATTTCTCTTTTCTGTTTTTTATGAGAATTTGAATAAGCAAAAATGATCTGTACCTTTAAATTTAGATCATTTGTAAAACAATTGGGGCTGTTTTGTTGGAGGTATTGGTGACCAATTTATTTAATGATTATCTGGAAATTTTCCTGCTTTTTGGCAGTTTTGGCTTTTTATTTTTTTCTTAAAATGATCTGTTTCCTCTATTCTCAATTTTTTCTATAGTTAGTGTTCTTTTCTGATCCTTCTCATAAGGATCATACCTCTCTTTTTATTCAACATGTTGCTCATTTGTATCTTATGTTAATTCACTATTCTTCCTTCTCTTTTTACATATTTAAAAAAATTTAGAAGAATAATTTTTATAATCAAAGGTATTATGTACATAGAAGTTAAAATAGCTCCATAAGGCTTGTATTATGAAAAACAGTAGACCCTACTTTTCCCCCAAAATTCTGCCTTGTTCACAATAGCTAAGCTCTGGAACCAACCTTTGACTCTTAGCTAGTTCTTATGTCTATTTTGCCTCTGTTTTTAAATAATGCTTTGCCACTATATTGTGGTATTTATAGGCTGGAGATTACTTTCCCTTACTTTTTTTTTAAAAAAGACATTGCTTTATTATTTTTACTTTATTTATTTTATTTTTTAATCTTTTACAACAGTGCTGCTTTTTTTTTCAGCTTTTCCTATTGTTAAGACTATTGTTTTGATTCCTTGATCCTTTGTGAGTGACTACTTTTTCCTTTTTGTAAGTTTTTAAGATCATGTCTTTTTTAGTGATCTAAAATTTTATTACATTAATTTCTTCTTGCAGTTTGTTTCCTATAAGTACTTTTTTTGGCTTGCTTTGCTCTTTGCCTTTTTTTTTTTTTTTTTTTTAAGATCCTTTTGTCAAATGCTAGTGGTCTTTAGCCATCTCCTTTTATTTAAGAGTAGAAAACTAAAATGGATGAGAAATTCTATATTCATAGTAAAATTTATAGATTGTTGGATTTGTGGATATCTAGGTATTAATATCTATAGTTTTTTTCTCTTAGCCTGGTAAATTTTTGTGACAAAAGAAGCTTCTAATTGGGGATGTGATTCTGACGAGGAGTATTCTCAGCTCTGTTGACAAAGGGAAAGGTGCAGTTTTAATGCTCTTACCTAATATCTCTTGTTTTTAAGTACATTACCCTTACCTTTAACCATCTTATACCACTGAGTTCATAGTCTCTGATGCTGAAACTTAAAAGAGTAAATATCTAATCTGATATGGCTAGGAGGGAAGGGGCTCTTTGTGTTATTAATTTTCTGTGCTGGCTAACAATGATGTTTGAGGGAACCACCTGCAATCCCTCTTTTAGAAGTGTGTTATACCTTTAATTAGTGTCTTTATGGACTTTTTCATAAATATGAGGCTGTCTGCTTCTGGGCTTTCTCCATTGCTAGCATATTTTAGTTTTTTCTTGTCTTGAGTAGTTGCCACTAATCTGCTTTTCAACTTCAAAAATTTGTTGTTGATATCTCTTGTCCCTTCTTTTCCTCTTCGTCCCTCTGGGTTTATACATTTAATAAAAAAAAATTATTAGTAAGGTCTCAAGAGGGAGCAGAGTAAATGAAAGCCAGCCTTTGTTTCTTTGTGGAGTTGAGTTCAATATTGTATCTAGTGAACAGTAATACAGTGATCCCATTGTTATTTATTTCCCAGTTGGTCGATTGTTAGGTTGTTTCCATCTATTTATTATCTCAGTGATACAGTGAACATTTTTGTTTATACCTCCTTGTATACATAAATTGAATTCCTGAGGATATGCATATTTGAAATGAAATCATTGAATATTCATGGCTTGGAATATTTCTGTTTACAAAATAATGTGTAATGCTTGTAAGATTAAAAATAATATACATGAACTGACATATATACTCATCACTCGGTGTAAGAAATATGAATATCTTACTAGTATTAATACCTTTACTGATCCTATTTTTCTTCTCTGTATAGAGGTAACTACTATTTTGAATTTCATTTTCTTTTCCATTCTAGCACATATGTATGTATGCTGATATCTGTGTCAGCACTTCTACTGCCACTTGTGACAGATGTCTCACTACCATACAGAGTTATTAATGCTTCACTCATGAAGGACTCATGAGACTGGCATATAGTTGTCTTCATGACTGATTTATTATAGCCATATAGTGAGGATACACAGCTGGGTCAGTAAGAGAAAGAGACATTAGGCAGACAGTAGAGGAATTCATGTGCAGGCTTTCTGTGCTCCTTAAAGGGGCCATGCATTCATTGCTACCAGTAGTGAAATGCAGTAATGTGTGTAGTCTTTCTACTCAGGAAAGGCTTTTGAAACAGCTTGTTTTTATTGGTGTCTTGTACCATAAACACTCTTCTTTCCACCAAAAAGTTCTGTATTCTAGAGTACCTAGAAAGGAAACAGGTGTTTACCATAAATCACATAGTTTATGTAGATAGTCTAGTTAGGCTGCCATAGAATGGTTGGTAGGGGAGCGAATATTCTGAAAGCCAAGTCACCACATGCTATGTAGGAGCTAGGAAGCCCTGTAAGAAGACCCTTTAAATGTTCAGCTGTGTTAACTCTTTCCTGCATAGAGTGAATTCCTAAATATAGTATTTTCTATTTCCTTATATCTATCTGGACTTTACCTAATTGGGATTATGTAATTTTGCAACTTTGTAAAATTGTTTGTAAAACAACTTTGTAAAACAATCATTTCTTCATTCAATTCATATTACTATGGTTTGTTTTACTGTTAGCATATGTAATATTAGATGAATATGCCATAATGTGTTCAGTACCAGAAGTTACTTTAGCATATTGTCTCTAACAACTGGTTTGTTGTTTTAAAATGTTTTTTTTCCATTTTAAGAACAAATGTGTTTAATAAGAATTGATAATTTAATAAAGTAGATCTAATGTATTTCTTCTATGCTAGAAATCACATTCAAAGTCAGTTCCAGTTTCTTCAAGGAAGAAGGAAGCCCCTCTGCAAGACATTATAGAACCAAATGAAACTTCCCACAAATCAGGTTGGTTACATCCTTGTGGGTGTTATTGCCTAGATGTAATTTCTAGTTTCTAGTTTCTAAAAAGTTAGAAATGCCAACGGTGGAGCATGTGTTGGCTCAAGTGAAGAGGTCAGGGTCAGCCTTGGTAGAAATGAGTGTGGTGTTGTTTTTGGTATATTGTGTGTGTGTGTGTGTGTGTGTGTGTGTGAGAGAGAGAGAGAGAGAGAGAGAGAGAGAGAAACTGATGGATGTGTTTTTGAATCTCAAGTCATGATCAATACTTTTTGTTTGTCTTCTTTTGTTTTTTGGTTTTTTTTTTTCCTTTTGTTCCATATCCTTTATTTAGTGAACTTGCTACCATTAAGAATTGAACCCAGGGGCACTCCATCACTGAGCCACACATTCCCAGCCCTTTTTATTTTGTAGTTTGAGACATAGTCTCATTAAGTTACTGAGGTTAACCTAGGAGTTGTTATACTCTTATTTACCTCCTGAGTTGCTGGGATTACAGGTCTGTGCCACCTTTCCTGGCTAAGTTTTCTTTATCTTTATTTTTCAAATTAGAAGAGTACTCCATTTGAGGGAACAGAGTCAAAGATTTAAAAGAAAAATCTTATCATTACTCCATCATCCTGGTGAGGTAACCAACTTTTGAGAATCCATCCTTGCCTTTGTTGGTGCTCATAAGTAAAAAAATGTCTAAGCACATGTGTGGGTATGTGTCTATGTCTTTATGTTCTTTCTGAAGAGACTGTTAAAAATTTTCTTTCAATCCAACAATGTAAGAGTAATTTTTACCTGATAGACTATTATTCTAATATTTTGTAAGATTTTGATAGTTCTGTTGGTGTTAAGCAATTTCATTGTTACTTTAGTGTCCATTTCCATGATTGCCATTGAGTTTGAATATTTTTCCTTAAGTTTATTGGCTTTTGGAATATGATTTTATCAGATTATAATGAATTGTCTATGTCTGTTCATATCCTTTTCCTATTTTATTTCCAATTGAAATAAAATTTAACTCTTGAAACCATTTATCTTTGGCTGGGGGTTGGTGAAAAGTAATGCTGAGTTACCATAGGTATAGAGCTTTTATTGGATGATGAAAAAGTTCTAGATAATGGTAAAAGCTCCATATTGCTCTGAATGTGCTAATATCACAGAATTTTTGTGCTTATAGATGGCTAGAGTGGCGAATTCTAGTTATTTTATATTTTGCAGTGAAAAAAAAAAACTTTAAAAAATGTTAGTCTGTCTCCTGCCTCCTCATCTACTTCACTGTTTAGTTTTAGCTTACCAAATTTCTTATTAAGGTTAATTCTAGCTGTATTATAGTTTTTGCTCTGTTCTGAATAGAACTTAGTAATAAGGGGCTAATTATTTAAATACAGAAAATTTTTAATCTAACACCAAGATTTTTAAAAAATTAATTCCAAACATTAAAATATCCCAATCTGGATTTTAGGTTTTTTAAAGCCATTTGACTATGTCATCGAATAAGGAGAGGTATCTGTTATTTTATGTCTATTGTTCTTGGTGTAGTATTGACTTGTGAGACCTTTCCTCTTCAAATGTATGCATTTTGTATAAAGTTCTTTCTCAGCACTGCTGTAACCACATTTCTATAGATTTTGGTGTTTTCTATTGATTTCACTTATTTCTATATTTTTTAAATATCCTTTGGGACTTCCTTAACATACTGGTTATTTAGAAGTGCATTAATTTTTAAGAATTTGGAACATTTTTTATTTTTTCCTAATTTCTAATCTTGATTCTTTTGTGGCACAGCCTGTACTATATGACTTTATTTCTTTAAAGTTTGTGAAAATTTATTTTATGACACAGGATGTTATCTGTCTTCATCAATGATTTGTAGACACTTGAAAACATTTGTTCTTGTTGTACTATGAATGTCAGTTATCATGTGTGCATTACTGCTCTTTACATACCTGTTGTTGGGTGTGATTTGTTGAAATTTTTTTGAGGATTTTTGCATACAAGTTTATTGGAAATGTTGATCTATAGTTTTATTTTTTAAATGCTGTTTGTATGGTTTGGGTAGAAGGTAGTACTTGCCTTAAATGAATTGGAAATTATTTCCTTTTTTAAGAGAAACTGTCAAATGGGTATTAATTCATTGAATGTTTTCTGTAATATTCTCCAATGAAATCACCAGATTGAGGAAATTTCTTTTTTAAGAGCTTCTAAACTACAAATTTAATTCTGTAATAGTTATAGGATTTTTTAGGTTATCTATTTCATGTTGGCTAAACTTTTATATTTTTGTAGATTTTAAGGAATTCATCAATTTCTTATAATTTTAATTTATGAGCTCAAGGTTGTTCATAGCATTATCCTATTATCTTTTCAGAGGCTACAGGATCTGTTGTGATATACCCTGTTTTCTTCCAGATGTTGATTCCTTTTTTTTTTTTAATCTTTGTCAATTTTGATAGAGGTTTATCAATTTTATTAATTTTTTCCAAAGAACTATCTTTTTATTTCATTAATTTTTTGTATAGTTTTCCTGTTGTCAGTTTCATTGGCTTCTACTGTTTTTCTGTTCCTTTGCTTGGCTTGTGTTTGTCTTGCTCTTTTTTTCTACTTTTTGAGGTAAGAACTTTATTTTATACTTTGATTTATAGTCCAATAGCATTTATTAATTCTGTTATACAAATTGCTTTAGCTTTGGCCATTATATACTCTTTCATTAGCTTGTGTGTACCTTTGCTATACCCCATTTTTGTTGTTGTTTTTGAGTACATTATTATTTTCTGGAGCTACAAGATGTTCCAGATTTATCTTAAGTATTTGCTGACTCTATTGTAGAGATTGTAGAGATATCCATTGCTTCAAGGAAGAATATTTTTTTTTTAAACTGATTTTTTTTTTAAAAAACTGAATCTGAGTCTATACTGATGTCTCCAACTTGAATGAATTGTTGTGTGGATTATTCTGTATATTCCCATGTTTGTAAGTACCCATTCCATGAGTGAAAAGCCTGGCATACATCATTTACCATTCATTCATTTAGTTTTTAAATTTCTTTTACATATATAACCATATCATAATTGTTGACTCACACCCTATGGAAATCATTTTAATCAACCAAACTATAGAACTTATATAGTCACTGCCTTTGGTCTTGTAGATTGCACTCATTTCTAAATTTGCTTTGGTCAGTATTGCCGTCTACCCGGAATGGCGACCTGAGCTGGGTTCACAAGAGCTGGCTGCACCAATAACTTAAGAAAATGACGAAAGAAGCAAGCAACACACAGAAATATCTTTTGCTTGCAGGAATCAGGGATGTCTCTTGACTTTAAGGGTCCATTGAAAAAAGAGAGAGCGAGCCACCTGAAAGTCCTCTATGTAATTGGGGAGAAAGACATTCAACCCAAATGAGAATAGAGATTGGGTTTCAGCGGGGTGTAGTCCAGTTTCATTGGGTGATGCCCACTCCCAGAGCATCATTCCCCTGCTGAGAGGAGGTGAGATCCACCTATTTCAGCACGCAGCAGAAACCAGTCTCTGTCGCTCAAGGCTAAGGGTCTGTGCTCACTTCTGTGTGGTAGCTCCCAACAGGTCAGCATCATTTTCCCCAGCCCACTTCAATGAGATTGTTTCTATATATCCTGTATTGAATATGTAATATGTAATATTATCAACTTCCAAGATTAGGTTATCAAAAGCTGTATGACTGTCTTTGGCTTGTTGGAGATATCAAAATCCCTATTTCTCTCTCTCTTTTCACATTTGTCCTTTGTGGATGAAAGTCCATATGGTAAGAAATAGGCACCCAGCCTCTAGCCAGAATCAGGTATCAGACATTTAAGCAAGTTTTCAGATGATTCCTGGCCCCAGACTTAGGAGCATGATTCTAGGCCCTGTGGGAGTAAAGATAAGGTATACTTATTGGGCCTGCCAGATTTGTGGCCCATAGGCTCCATGAACCTAAGTGGTGATTTTATGTGACCATGTTATATAGAGTTATTTACTATGCAGATCTAATAACTAGAAAAACTTTTTCAACTTTCATACTATTATCAAATCTATTTTTATTTTTACTTATTTTTTAAAAAATTTGTTTTGCAGTACTGGGAATAGAACATAGGGTGTCTTACCCCTGGTTTACATTCCCAGTTTTTAAAATTTTTAAACTTTTAGACAAGGTCTTACTAAATAGTTAAGGTTGCACTCCTCCTGTCTGAGCCTCCCCAGTATCAGGAATTATAGGTGTGTACTTCCATGCCTGGCTATTTTTAATTTTTAAAAAATCTATTGTATTTTCTTGGTATCATTTTATATTTCTACAGGCAGTGATTATGGGTTCTAATTTCTTCACATTATCACTAATAGTTATTTTCTGTTTTGTTGTTTTTGTTTAATAACTGTCCTAATGGTGCATAGTAGTCTCTTATTGTGGTTTTGATTTGTTCAACATTATTGTCATTAGAGAGCTTTAAATTAAAACATTTCGATAGTTATGTTCATCTATAAAAAGGGCTAATTTTCAAAAAGCTAGTTTTTTTTTGATAACTCTGGAGTTTCTGTCTTTTATTTCAGGAGCGTTGTAATTGTTAAAACATTTTATGGTATCTACTTTTAAATATCGTTAAATGATTCCAACATCTAATAGATCTCATCCATTTATTTTCTTGTTCAGATTATGTTTTATTCTGTTCTTTTTTATATGTTAATGATTCATTTTTATTGTATTTTGGATATTTGGGTTTTTAGGTTAGTAAATTTTTGATCACATTTAAGTCTATTGTTATAACACATAGTTGACTTGTTTTGTTTTAATGTGTAGGTTTTTCCTTACTTGTGTGGTCTTTATTCCTAGCAGTGGTATTTTGTTCTGCTTCATTTTCTGATGATTTTAGAATTCTAGTTCAATTCATGTTCATGGGTTTAAAATGTCTCTGGGGTGGGTGTAAAGTACTTTCTTGAGCCTCCTGATGTCCTGTTATTCATGGTCGATTGCAGTCAGAAACTGCTAGGCTTGGGTCTCCTTATATGGGGTATGCTAGACTTTCTTAAATCTTTCTTAAATGTTGTTCTTCCCTCAGATTAAACTGTCTAACTGCCTTGGCTGTGAAGTGTGGTACACATTCAAATATTAACTTAGAATGTGAAGTAGCGGCTAGAAATAACAGAAGTTTCACTGTTCTGCAGTGTTTATGGGTCATACTTCTTGTCACCACTGATTGTTGGAATGAGACCTAAATTGATAGGGGCTTTCCTTCTCTACTGTTGTTCTATAGCACAGTCCATGGCTTTGTTGCTGTGCCACAGTAAACAGAATGGAGTACCCCTTGGACTATGTTGTAGAGGGTTGAGATTTCCCACTAGTCTCTGTTGTGTTTTCCTTATTCAGAGAATGTGAATTTCCTCTTTCCCCTTTTGCCTACTGTTGATCTGGGTTGCATGCCTCATCATGGCCCAGTCCAGAAGTGTGTGACAGATAAACAGGAAAACAAAAAGACTTACTGCATTGTCTGTTGTTCTTTAACCTGTTTTGTCCTATCTTCTCAGATCTGGAACACCTATAAAGACTTTAATATGTAATAGTAAATATATAATTCCATGATGAGAATAATTATATGATTATGTTGTATTAATATTATTAATTAATATAATTATGAATGTAGTCTCTAGATTATGATTTCCAACCTATTTTAATGCACCTATGTCAATTTTGTTGAAATATTCACAGAATTGAAAGCTTGGGCCTTAATGGTTTAAGTCTTGAGATTGCTAGTTGAGTCTGCCTTCTTTCTCCCAGCTTTGAGAGTCCTATTATTGTTGATTGACGGAGAGTTTCTAATGAATTTAGGATACTTACAGGGAGAAACAAGTAAATGCTATCTCATTCCAGAACCAAAAGCCCCCCTTTTTTTTTTTTTTTAAAGAGAGAGAGAGAGAGAGAATTTTAATATTTATTTTTTTTTAGTTTTCGGCAGACACAACATCTTTGTTTGTATGTGGTGCTGAGGATCGAACCCGGGCCGCACGCATGCCAGGCGAGCGCGCTACCGCTTGAGCCACATCCCCAGCTCCCCAACAGCCCTTTTTGGTTGTACTTTAAGTTTTTAGGCTTTGTTTTTTATGGTATGAATTATTATGAATGCTACCCAGCCATTTTTTTCCTTGATTTTTGAAGATTGAGGGTTAAGGAAGAATATACATATGTGTTTGTAAATTCATGTATATGTATATATAGATTAATAGATATATACATAGGCACCATCTTCATATGTACACACATAAATATGAATTGCTTTATACAAACTGTGTATCGTGTGTGTGTGTGTGTGTGTGTGTGTATGCTCTTTAATTGTCCTTGCTTCCTAGCTTTTAGCTAAAGATAGAAGAATCTTTGTGATTACTCTAGGTTACTTTATTATTTTAGCTTTTCATAGATTTTTCATATTTTGAGATGTTATCAATAAACTTGTGAATTTTCTTTGAGTATTTCTGTCTTTTCAGAGCTTTAGATAACAAGTTTAGTTCATTAATTGATAATTAGAACTTTTAAAGTATTTTTGTATTTTAATCATGTCTTTGATTATGAATATGTTCTGAAAACAGTCTTCTGAAAACTTCTAATTAAAATATTGCACCTTTAATTCTAATACTATTTTAATGAACAAGAATCCTTGTATAATTTTCTTCTAGTACAGGGCCATGAAGTTCTTCAGAAAATCCTGGCAACTGATATTGTTTCTAGAAATACACCCGACTTGAAAAAAATGTCAAGTAAAAAACCAAGTGACCATCCTAGTGAAGCTGAGGAAGAATTTTACTTATCTGTTGGCTCACCTGCTGTTCTTTTGGATGCAAAAACATCTGTATCACAAAATACTAGTTCATCTCTTGCTCAAAAGAGAGAGACTTATACTTTTGGAAATTCGTTAAATATGCTGTCTTCAAGTACAGAGATTTCTCTTAAAACCAAAAAAAGGTAATCTTTATTTAAATAGTAGTAATCATGCTTTAAAAATTTTACTATTTGTAAATAGTATTTTACTATTAAATAGTGGTAATTCGGTCTTCCATGTAGTTTTGCAGTGATTATTAATGGGTTTTAACATGTCATGAGAAAAACAATATCTCTTTCTATATCTTCATTTTATGATTGATAAAGAAGACCTTAAAAGTTTACTTGAGAGAAGTGAGGAAGTAAACCTTTTTATAGTCTCCGGAAAATTATTGTTCTGGTGTAAGTTTTCTATAACTTCCTAAAGAACAACCTATCCCTACTATATTATTTAAAATTGCAAATGTAGGTACATATTAGGTCATTTCTGGGCTAGGAAAGAGTATATGTTATTGTAGATGAATTGTTGTAAATCTAGTTCCATTTCTTGGAGTCCCTTTGACCTTTAGGAAGAAAAGTAGGTTGTTTAAGATCCTTTGTTATTGTAGGCTTTTACAATGAATCTAATATCTGATCTGTCTTATGTGTTTCTTGGAGCTAAGGAGTTAAGTCTTAATATTTTTGTCTGAATATTTTAAGACTTTACTATTTAAAGTGTAGTCTGTCACAGTACTCTGAGAACCAGTGTTCTAAGCTACACATTTTCTTGGTTAATAATTTAACCATTGTAAGGCTCAGTGCAAAATTTCGTAAGTGGTCTGTACCAATACTGTAAGTTCAGTAAGACTCAAATAACAGAGTTTATGGGTGCACTTAGCTTGTTTTTCTCTTGCCCTTTTAGGTTAAACTTTGAAGATTTTATTTTAAAAAAAGTAGAAATAGAGAATAAAGTATCAGAAGTAGAGAATAAAATACCAGAAGGACAACAAGAAAGGAAGCCATCAGAAACATTTCAGAAAAGTGTACAGGATTTGGAACATGAAATTCAACCACAAACTAAAAAGAGCTTTTCAACATTGTTTTTAGAAACTGTAAAAAGAAAAAGTGAATTCAGGTGAGTTATTAAGAAACTGTCCTTTGAGACATTTTTTTTTTCCTTTTCTATTCTATGAACCATGTCTTCAAATTCCTACTGTTCATTTATCTGGAAATAAATCATTTAATTGGTTAAAATTTTATTTTTATTTTTTGAGATGGGGTCTTGTTACATTGCTTAGACTGGCCCCAAACTCAGGATTCTCCTGCCTTAGCCACCCAGGTTGCTAATTAATGCAAATTTTTATTGAAATTTTGCCTGCTCTATAGAGGTAATTTTTTCATTTTTTAAAAAATGTATTTTTTAGTTGTAGTTGGACACAGTATCTTTATTTTATTTATTTTTATGTGGTGCTAAGGATTGAACCCAGGACCTCACAAATGCTAGGCAAGGGCTCTACCGCTGAGCCACAATCCCAGCACCAATTTTTTCATTTTTTAAACCAGTAAATCACTCCCCAAACCATTCTTTAATAGACACTAAATTAGATATGAAGAAAAAATGAGTTTATTCAGTTCTCATTGCTCTGGCTCATCATTTCTTTCTGGTTTGTGATATCAAAAAATGAAGACAGTCTTTATAAATAGAATTATATAAGACTACTTGTATTTCACTATTTCAGGTTTTAAATCTTTTTTCTATTTCTTCTGTGTCAGTAAAATGATAGTCCTAAAATAAATTTAATGTGTTCATTTCTATTTAACCCACTAAGTCCCAACTTTTAAATTCTTCAGATATTTCAATGAAATTGACACAGGTGCATTAAAAGGGTTTGGAAATCATAATCTAGAGCTTATATTGCTACATTAATGTTAATATTATTATTAACATTATTATTGTATAATAATGTTATATCATTGCATTATATACTGTATACTATATTTAAGTCTTCATAGGTATTCCACATCTGGGACAATGGGGAAAAATGGATCAAAGACCTTCCTTGGTTTTGAAATATCTGTGTAGTGATTTTAACCCTGGCTTCACATTTATATAAATAATGTCAGTCAGGATTGAGAAGTATTGGTCCATAGAACAAATTTCAGCTGTTATTTCACCCTCCCTAATTATCTGTTTTTATCTTCTTGGTCTTATATATTTGCATATGTATTTGCTTTGCCATAGCTTTTTCCTTTTTCATCTGCTAATTGCTGTTTCTTTTTAAGGTCTATACTAGACTTCTACATTTTTAAAGTTTTACTTTATTGTTTTGTTTTGTTTAGATAGTTGCTTGCTTCATATTATAGTTTTACAATTTTAGGTATGTATTTTTAGTTAAGATTTAAGTCTCCCATTCCAGGAGTTTAGAGTTCTTTTATATTTTCTGTTCAGTCTATTAGAGTACTTATCAACATATTAGGATGTTTTTTATAAAAACATGTTGAATCAATAAATGAAATTCCCATTTTGTTCAGTCTCTGTTCCCATAATTAATTTCCCAGTTACACACACACACAATCACTTATATGCATGTGTTCCCCACCAATTGAGACAAATATGTTACACTTGGGGTTAGTTATAGCGTTTGAAAGGGTAATTGTGTGTTTTTTAATGTCCTTTTTGATAAACTAGTAAATAAAGGTAGTTTACTTGCTAGAGCCAAATGTAGCAAGTCATTATTTCCTGTGCTTTCTAGTATCACTGCTTTTACTTATGGTCTTCCTTCTGTTTGTGTTTCTTGCATTTCCTCATGACCAACTTCTTGCAGCTCAAAGGCGGCAAAGTCTTTCTCACTTAGTCAGAAGTAATCGTGGCCTATTCTGAACTTTAATAGTGTCAAAGTTGTTTCCTAAGGGTATCTTTGGTTTGAATAACTGACTAGATGGAAATCCCTTGAAGTAGAAGGGGAACAAATTTGGCAGTTCTTAATCGGCTAGTTGGAAAGACTTCATTTAAAAATTCTTAGCTTTACCTCTTTATATACAAAAACTAATAGATGTTACAAATAATATACTATAAATCTAATTGTATTTATTTGTAACAGTTTGATTATTTACTTAAAAGTAGGAAAAACAATATATCCATTGGGCATTCAGTCATTGTGGTCTTTTATTCGTGTTTCATATATATATATATTTTTAATTTGTTGCTTACATAAATGCGATTTTCTTTTTTTAATTTTTTTTGTTCTTTTTAGTTATACATGACAGTAGAATGTATTTTGACATATCATACATACATGGAGTGTAACTTCCTGTTATAGTAAGCTTTTTCACCACTGTGACTAAAAGACCCAACCAGAACAAGTGTAGAGGAGAAAAAGTTTATCTCAGGGCTCATGTTTTCAGAGGTCTTAGTCCATAGAAGTCCTGTTCCATTCCTCAAAGCTGGGTGAGGCAGGACATCATGGTGGAAGAGTGTGGCAGAGGGAAGCAACTCACATGATGGTCAGGAAACAGAGTGAGAGATCTCCACTTGCCAGATACAAACATATACCCCAAACCCATGCCCCCAATCCTCACATCTTCCCTTCTATTTCAGTTACCACTCAATTAATCCCTGTTGGGCGATTAATTCACTGATTGGGTTAAGAGTCACAACCCAGTCATTTCTCCTGAACCTTCTTACATTGTCTCACACATGAGCCTTTGGGGGACACCTCACATCTAAACCATGATACTTCCCATTTTTATGATTGTACATGATGTAGAGTTACACTAGTGGTGTATTCATATATTAGCTTAGGAAAATTATGTCCCATTCATTCTACTGTCTTTCCCATCTCCATCCCCCTCCCTTCTCTTCACTCACTCCTCCCTGTCCAATCTGGTACTCCCCCCACACCCCCATTGTGAGTCATCATCTGCATATTAGAGAGAACATTTGGCCTTCAGGTTTTGGGATTGGCTTACTTCACTTATCATGATAGTCTCCAGTTCCATCCATGTACTGGCAAATGCCATAATGTAATTTTCTTTGTGGCTGAGTGACATTGCATTGTGTACATGTACTACTGTGTTAGTTTTTACACAGTTTTCTAATTACATAAATCTGTAAAACTCTACTACCAGCAGACAGTGTATTAACATTCTCTGTTTTATAAGATTTATTAGGAGTATGAGATTAGAAGAGTAGAGAAGGAATTTTATCTTAGAATCCTCTAATAAAAAGGGAAAGAAAGGTAATCTTTTTTTTTCTATTCTACCTTTGCTTCTGCTTTGACTAAACATTAAGGAAGCATCCTTATCCAATTGAAAAAGGCGGAAACCAGGAGTGTATATGCCAGCTTTGGAGTTTCGAAATTTATCCTAAGTTTTGATTTTGCATATCTCATTAAAGCCTGTGGTTTACTCAAGTCTGTTACCATAAAAGCAGGGAAATGTAAGATGAATCCATCAGCTTACTATCCTTTGAATAATTAGATTGTATTAGAGTTAATATTAGATTGTAGATTGTACTTAATGTTAGATTGGGATTGTAGTTAACAATTTTCAAATTGTTTTGTTATCCCTTTATAGCACTAAATGTGGGAAATTATGACAATATTTATATAATATAATAAGTTAGGTTGGGATGTGGAAAAAGAGGGCTAGAATATGCAAACATGATTAGATTCCATTTGTGCTTATGCTACCTTTAAATATCATCCAATTATGATTATAGTATTGAAATGTATGTGAACATGTGTGAAATATTCAAACTTGGAATGAATTTTTACATTATATTTGGTGGTTCTATGTATGAAGTCCTTTGGGATATGAAAAAATTAGAAGAAATTAGTCCCTTATAATTTAGTAGAGTTCAATTAAAATATTAGATTTGGAGGTTTCTCAGAAATAATACTGTCAATATGAAGAAATTCAGACCCCAAAAGGCATCTGTTTAACTTATAATTTAATAAAATATTATGTGTGTTTCTGTGTGTGTGTGTGTGTGTGTGTGTTTATGTATACACACACTATCATCCATTTTGGATTATAAGTTAATGTTTCTGGGTTATGATTTCTCATCTGGGTTTCATTTTTTAGTTTATATTGGGGGGCATCAAATTAGTTGCCATCTCTAAATTTTTATGATCCTGTTAGTGACATAAATGAGAGTGATCATTTAAAAGGAAGGATTTATAAAATTAAGGGAAAATTGAGAAGTATGAACTGCTCTTTTAACAGATATGTAGATTTTATTTCTTATGTAATTTTCTTCAGTAAACAAAGATAAAACTTCATTTTTTTAAGCTGTTAAAATAATAATCCTGTTTTAGTCCCATTGTTAAGCATATAGTGACTGCTCCACCTCATTCATCTCCTCCAAATGATATGAAGTTGTTAGAAGATGAATTTGTAATTGATGAGTCAGATAGAAGTTTTGCCAGTGGATCTTGGATTACAATACCAAGAAAGGGTGGATCTCTGAAACAACCCACAATATCCCCTGCTGAGAGCACTGCAGTCCTTCAAGGTAAGAAGGCAAGAGAAAAACATTGCAGTGTATTACCTAACACTTTGAGAAGTGACCAGCATTTGCATAAAGCTCACCCAGAACAGAAATTTCAACCCTGTGATGAAAAAAAAGTGGATACAAGTTCTTCTTTGACAGATGAATTGGAAAATATTGATAGATCTACAAAATATGAAATCTCTTCTGAAAATGCCAAAAAACCATCTGAAAACAAAACGCCAATAAAACAAAATCAGAGAAGAAAATTTAAGGCCAACGTAGTTAAAAAACAGCTTGATCTGGAACAGTCTAAAGATAAAAATGTAAATATGTCACACTCTGCTCAAGACAAGTTGCAAAAAAATTTAGACAGAAATGGAGAAGATTGTGAAGGGACGAGAAATGATAATATATTCAAAACACCTACACTACCTGTGGGTAAGTATTTACGTTGAATATTAACTGAATATTATTTTATAATTTACATTTTTAACATCCCTGTGTAGCTTTGGGAAGTAGGCAAAGTAAATCTAAATCTACAGAGAGTTTCAAAATTCTATAGGTTCATTTTTAGAATCAGTTTATGTTATGTATAATTTAATTTCAACTTTAATTTTTGTTTAGTTTCTAAGATCCCATCACATATAGAGGGAAGAATAAAAGGCAAAGATTAGTTTTTAAAACAAGTGAAACAGAATCAAATTCTTAAGAGTATTAAAATATAAATGGGGTAAAACCTATTATACCCAATATACCCACTGTATATCAGTATAGCTACATACATGCTCTTCTATCATTCACTAATTTATATGTTATTAAGTGCCAGACAGTTTTGGCATGAAAATCAAAAAGATTACTGAAACATAATTTCTACTGTTAACAGTATCATTTTAGTGGGGTCTGTAGACCAACAGATAAATGTACTTACATGTACAAAATGAACGTGGAGGCACAAAAAACAATTATCTAACCAAGATCACAGTAGATATTTGTATCTTAGGTGGTCCTATAATTTATCATCCTAATGAGGCTACTTTTATGAATGAGAATGTCAGGTCAATAAGTATAAACTGGAATTGTCCTATACTGAGAGTGTGGCTGCTCTCCTTAATATATCATCATTGTTTAGTGATTGGGATTTGTAGTTACATTTAGTCATGAAGAAAAGGTCAGTTTATAGTCTTCTTCTTCTTTTTTATTTTTTTAATAGAGGATAATGAAATCAAGGGCATTTTTTAAAAATATTTTTTTAGTTGTCAGTGGACCTTTATTTATATGCAGTGCTGAGAATTGAACCCAGTGCCTCACATGCTAGGCAAGCGCTTTACCACAGAGCCACAACTCCAGTCCCTCAGTTTATGTTCTTTGTAACACTTTCAGTTAATAGAAAAGGGGTCATAGCCTAAAAAGAGCATGCTACAGGGACACTGCTACATCGATGTTCATAGCAGCACAGTTCACAATAGCTAGACTGTGGAACCAACCTAGATGCCCTTCAATAGACGAATGGATAAAAAAAAAATGTGGCATTTATACACAATGGAATATTACTCTGCATTAAAAAATGACAAAATCATAGAATTTACAGGGAAATGGATGGCATTAGAGCAGATTATGCTAAGTGAAGCTAGCCAATCCCTAAAAAACAAATGCCAAATGTCTTCTTTGATATAAGGAGAGTAACTAAGAACAGAGTAGGGTCGAAGAGCATGAGAAAAAGATTAACATTAAACAGGGATGAGAGGTGGGAGGGAAAGGGAGAGAGAAGGGAAAAGGCATGGAAATGGAAGGAGACCCTCAGAGTTATACAAAAGTACATACAAGAGGAAGTGAGGGGAAGGGGAAAAATAATATAAGGGGGACAAACGAATGTCAGTAGAGGGGGCAGAGAGAGAAGAGGGGAGGGGAGGGGAGGGGAGGGGGGATAGTAGAGGATAGGAAAGGCAGCAGAATACAACAGACACTAGTATGGCAATATGTAAATCAATGGATGTGTAACTGATGTGATTCTGCAATCTGTATATGGGGTAAAAATGGGAGCTCATAACCCACTTGAATCAAATTGTGAAATATGATATATCAAGAACTATGTAATGTTTTGAACAGCCAACAATAAAAAATTAAAAAAAAAAAAAGAAAAGAAAAGGGGTCATAGAATTGAATTCTCTTAAGAACAGTTAATGGAAGAAAAAACACTAGTAAATTTATTGGGCACCTTTATAAATGTATATAATGTAATTTAATCCGTCTTGACAATCTTGTAAAGGAGGATGTAACACTGAAAAAAGATTAAAATAAATCTTGTCCAGGATCTGTCCTACCATACAGCTCCTATTTTTTCAGTTCTGCTAAGAAATTTTTTAAAATGTGAAGATATTTTCAATGCTCAGTGGAAAAAATAGCTAACCAGAAAATGCTGTTGACTAACCAGAATTGTGTATGTACCTGAAAATTCTAGATGACTACATGATATTGCAAATACAGAGGTGAGAAAGAGTATATTAGAATATAATATTAAAGGTTATTTTTTGGGCTGGGGATGTGGCTCAATCGGTAGTGCGCTCACCTGGCATGCGTGCGGCCGGGTTCAATCCTCAGCACCACATACAAACAAAGATATTGCGTCCGCCGAAAACTAAAAAATAAATATTAAAAAAATTATCTCTCTCTCACAAAAAAAAGGTTATTTTTGTTAAAAAAAATGCAGTTTAATTTTTTATCAATGAATTATTTAATTTTTGTGCTCTTTTGGTATACTCTGTAAGATAGACTGTATATTACCCAAAGTAGTAGTTTACAAGTTTTGTCTGTTTGCCTTTCTTTATTCTGCTTGAAGTAGAGGTGGAAAAAACTACCTTTTCTATTTTGAGGACCCCTTTTGTAAATGTTGGCCATGTCCTATATTCTTTTTATCATATTTGTTCTTTATTTTTTAAATTTCCTTTAGTTTCTAATAATTTGTTGGCCATTTTAAGAATCCGACTAATCTAATGGTGATATTATAAGAAAGTTTTTATCTTAACTATTCCCTTAAGCAGAATATGATTTTACAAAATTTTAAAGTAGAGAATTTTGATCAATCCATGATTTCTTAAGAGAAGACAATAAATGAAGGATGTATACTTGAAGAATGGTTCCTGTAGTTGAAATATTATACATTTATTGAGTACCTATACACTTTAACACGTTGTCTAGATTGTTCTGTGAATATGATGTTCTGTTTAATCACTATACCAGTTGTAATTTTCTCCACCGCCCCCCCCCCACCATTCTTCCTGTCCAATCCAGTGAACCTCCCCTTCATTCTTTTTTTATGGCTGAGAAATATTCCATTGTGATATGTACTACATTTTCTTTAGCCTTTCATCTGTTGAAGGGTTTCCATAGTTTAGTTATTGTGAATTTTCTGTTTTAAAAAATTACCATACACTTAGTATCTTAAAACAACACATATTTAATAACTTATTGTACTATAGGTCAGAAGTTTCACTGGGCTAAAACCAATGTGTTGGTGGAACTGTATTTCCTTCTGGTGACTTTGCAAGAATATCTGTTCCCTTGCCTTTTCTTCTTGACACGTATATTCCTTGGCTCATGATCCTCCTCCATCATCAAAACCAGCAATGCCAGACTTGTTATGTTTTGAATTTTTCTTGCCTCTTCTGTCATCCTGTATCTGACTACAGATTAAATGACACATGCAGTTTTAACTATGCATAAATTTGGCCAATCTGAATAGTCCAAAATAATTTATTTTCAAGGTTTATAATGTAAAATCTTCCAAAAAATAGATTGTAAAAAATCATTAATTATTTCAAAATGAAAAACAGTAGTTACCTATTTTAACTTGGTAAGTGGTAAGAAGGAACAATATATTTTTTTCCTTTTGTAAGCTAATTTATATTTTAGTTTAGTAGTATATCAGAATTATCAAGCCATATGAAAGCTTGCATTTAATCAGAAAGTTAGAAATCTTAAAAACATGTAAATTTTAAAAACTTGAGATGAAGTCTATAGGCTCAATTTAGTAAGTTCTATTTTTTTTTTTTTTTTTTATTTTAGGAGATAAGAGAATAAATAGAGGCACCAAAAACAATAAGGAAGAATCTAGAAAGAAGCATTTTTCAAGTGAGTCCAAGAAGAATAAACTTGTATCCGAAGAAGTGACTATTGCTGTCATGAGAAGTCATAGGATTTCCAGGCGTCCATCTGATTGGTGGGTGGTAAAATCAGATGAAAGTAAGTATTTTTATTTAAATTATATTCATTAAGAGGTACTAAAAAATTACTGTGTAAGGGGTTTTTTGTTTGATTTATACTCCTATTATATAGAAAAAAATCTTGGACATAATTTAATTGGGTCATCGATAGACATTTTGTTTAAATCAATTATGCAGAAATTCCTAGGTAAATAAATAAATAAATAGATAGATAGATAGATAGATAGATAGATAGATAAAAATGGGCTGGGGATGTGGCTCAAGCGGTAGCGCGCTCACCTGGCATGCGTGCGGCCCGGGTTCGATCCTCAGTACCACATACAAACAAAGATGTTGTGTCTGCTGAAAACTAAAAAATAAATATTTAAAAAAAAAAAAAAATTCCTAGGTGTAGGGAAATAGCTGTGGAAAAACAAAGCCATGAACAAAGTTCCTTGCTCACGTAGTTTACATTCTAGAGGGACAATACAGAGAAGTATTTCACCCACTGATAGATGAGAAGGACAAACAAAGCAGATAATGTATGGACATGGAAAGGAGGTTATAGGAATGGAAGTGAACAAAAGGATAGAGTGTGATACTAGTTTATAATGGTAGTATAAGAGGCTATTATGATCTTTCAGAGCCCATATATGAGTAGAGGGAGGGAGCCATACAAATAACTAGATGTAGAGTATATCAAATCAAGGGAACAGTAATTGTAATTCCTGGTGGGGCATACTTGCCATGTCTCAGGAAAATTAAGAGAGCGAGTGTGGCTGGAGCTGAGTGAGCTAGGGAAGATAAATTTGGACAGTCAGGCCATGATAGAGAGTGCTGGCAGCTGGAAGCTCTCAACAAGAGAGGTTAGATAAAATATATCGAGAAACTACTTGAAGATTTAAAAAATAAAGTGCATGTGTAACCAGTGTGAATCTGCAATATGTATATGGGGTAAAAATGGGAGTTCATAATCTGCTTGAATCAAATGTATGAAATATGATATGTCAAAAAAAATAAAATAAAATAAAATTCACACGTGAAAAAAAATAAAAGTGGGTGGGGAATAAAAATAAAAAAATAAAGTGACACAGTTGACTCATCTTTTAAAAGGATCATTTTTACTGCTCAGGAGAGAGGAAACCAGGACTAAGCAAAAATGGAAACCTGGTGTGACTAGTTTTAGGAGGATGGTGAAGGGAGGAGATGGGAATTGTTAGATTCAGGATATTTTGTGAAGATAACACTAAGGAAATATAAATGGATTAGAGTGAGAGAAATAGCTACTGTTTACTGAGATGAGGAAAGGAATGAGAGAAAAAAAGTTTCAGAGGATTTTAAGATTTCAGGTTTTCGTATGTTAATTTTGAGGTGTTATTAGATATCAAAATAGTATATTCAGGATATATTTAGATCAATAAGTGCGAGAATAGTACAGATAAGGTACAACATCTGTGAAGACTTGTTACTATGAATTATTGACCCATAAGAACTTCTATTGAATTATTGGTAATACAAATGAGACATTATCGTAGAAAACTTATGGAGACACTTGGCCTCAGAGTTACGTCAGTTCAAGCTCTTACTTGCATGACCCCAAAGTGGTTACCTTCTTTAATTTTCTGCCTGAGTACAGTATTTCTTTATGATAGTGTACCCAATTGGTATACATTAGGAGTACAAAAGTAGGTAAAATATAGTCAATTCCTTGATCTCCAGGAATTATCAGTCTGCTGGAGGAGAGGGATAGAGATAAGTAAACAGTCAGATATATAATAAATATTATCAAATGATTAAGAGATCGTTATACTAAGACTTGGGAATTAGTGAAAGCTTCCTGAAGAATGAATTAGAAGTCAGCTAGTTGGATGGTGTGAGAAGGAACGATGTCATTTTTGAACAGACATAGCTTGTGCAGGGATCTGGAGCTGAGGGGTTGACTTTTTTGTTTGTTTGTTTAGTGTGTCTCAGAATAATCTAAAAGGCTTATTAAAACATTTCTGGGCCCTGTTTTGCAAGTTGGTTTGTGTTGATTGAAGCTAGAGCATGAGAATTTGCATTTCAGACAAATTCCCAGATGATGCTGATCTTATGATATAAAGACCACATTTTAAGAACAAATACTTTAGAGAAACTACAGATATTTCTGTACTGCTGGTTTTATTTGTTTGAAAGGACATGGTTGAGAGTTGTAGGTTATGAAGTAAACAATCTAGATGTAGAAATAAATTGATGTTAAAGTATTTAGACTTAATCCTGAAGCTGTAGATACTCACTGTAAGATTTTACATTTTGTTTCTTTGAGACAGGTTGTCCCTTTGTTGCGTAGACTGGTCTACAACTCATGAGCTTAAGTGATCCTCTTGAGAGGCTGAGGCTATAGGTGTGTGCCACCATGCACAGCCTCTTACTAAAGGATTTTAAACAGGGTTATAACAATCCTATTTATGTTTTCCAAAGATAATTTTAAATCAATATAAAGATTGGGTTGAATAACAAGGGTACAAAAGGGAAAAACTGTTAAAGAGCTGTTTTATTAATCTAGAAATGAAAGGGCAAGGGCTCTGCTAATGACAGGCAGGACAGCATGAAAGAAGCACATTTGAGAACTATGGAGTGGCACTTGTAACAACACATCCCATCATTATGTATAACTATAATGCACTGATTTTTAAAAAATGAAAAAAAAAATAAAAAGGGGTAGGACTGATGGGTTTTAGGGATTGATTGTGGGTAAGGGCAAGATGACTCTGATTTTTTATTTAGGCATCTGGATAGTTATACTTATCATAAATATAGGAATAAAATGAGAAAAAGATTTAAGGATGAGTGGTAGATGTATATTATTCGTGTCATCATATAGGTATGAATTCAAGCTATGGATAGATAGATCCCCCAAAGAAAGTACATAGAGTAAAAAGTTATAGGTGGAACCTTGGGAAATACCAGAATCTTAAGGATTATCAGAGAGTACTAGGTAAATACAGTGAGAAGGTTATTTGGTAAGCTTGTGATGCATTTAAAGGATCTGGTGCATGTCTTTCTAAATTGAATTTAAATAATTTTTAAAGGGGGGAATAGGAAGGGTAGCAGAATACAATAGACACTAATATGGCTGTATGTATAAAAGTGGCCGTAAAACCAATGTGATACTGCAAGCTGTACACGTGGAAAAAAAAGAATTCATACCCCACTTGAATCAAATGTATGATATGTCAAGATCATTGTAATGTTTTGAGCAACTAATAAAAAAAATTAAAAAAAAAAGAATTTTTAAAGAATTTAATGTGGAAACAAATTTACCCTGAGACTAGTCTGTGTGTATGTGTTTATATATAAATATGAATGACATTGGCATTTTAGTGAGCCAAATCATCTGGACAAACACGATAACTTTAAATTTTCATTGAATCTTTCAGGTCCTGTTCATAGCAATTCTTCAATAAAAAATGAATTATCAGTGTATCACAACCCTAGACAAAAATCTGCTAAGAAAACAAATCAGCCATCTAGGAATACTGGGAAAAAAGCCATTCCATTAAAAAAGCAGAAGACAGCTATGCAAGGCAGCTCAAGAGTACAGAAATTTTTAAATGTTAAAGGTTCTGAGTTTATTAGCAACCATGAAAAACTTCCCAGTTGTTCCCAGAATGAGCCATCAGAAAGTGACAAAGCTGACCTGGCTGCGAAGAAAAGTCTTGATTGTTCTGGGTAATGTCTGTTATGTTTACAATATAGTTATTGTTCCACATTTAATATTTTGTCTATGTTATTTAACCATTTATAGAAAGAGCGTATCAACCTAAAGGACTCCATACTCTGACAGATCTGGTATTAAATCTAGGCTCTGCCTTTAGCAGAGCAAAGTAGTAATCTGATCTTGTTTCCTCATATTAATATAGGTAATAATAATAGCACATAGGATTGTGAATGTTAGATCTAATGAATTATTATTTTTGCCTGAGTTGCTAATTTTTTAAAAATAATGACAAAAGATTCACAATAAAATTATTGTATTAATCACTTTGAAGTACATAGTTTTTGTTTTGTTTTTTTACCTTTTAAAGTGAGATGAATGTGATGTCAGTTTGAAACATGTCAGTAATTTTCCTTTTAATATAATAGTTAACATTTTTGGAGTACCTACTAAGTACTAAATGATTTTTAATAAATTCTGTTGAGCTAATTCTGTTTTTATAAATTCTTGCTTTTTGCTGTAGCATGCATTCAACGAATATTTAATGCATACAGTATTAGAAACAGCAAGGTGGGGCTAGGGTTGTGGCTCAGAGGTAGAGCATTTGCCTAGCATGTGTGAGGCGCTGGGTTCGATCCTCAGCACCACATTAAAAAAAAAAAAAAGTATTAAAAAATAAAGGAAAGAAAGAAACAGCAAGGCACTGGCGGTTAATTGGGGGAAATAAATGATTAGAATGGCCTAAAATATATTTTGAGTATGTCATTAGTGTATATAAAAAAAGATCCCATATATATTCCCAAGTTTAATTTCTTCAGATTATTTTTTTAAAGAAATCTTGCTAGATTTGGTTTCATCAAAGTTCTTGTTGGTATATAGTTGTTCATAGTATTCTCTTACAGTTGCATTTATTTTTTTTGACTCTGATGGTAGGACTCCAGAAATAAAATTTCAAAAGGAATAGAGTTGTTTGCATATATTTGGGGTAAATTGATCAGCTGGAAGCTACCAATGACATGAGCTTTGTCCCTCTGAGGACCCTACTGCTGACCTAGTGTATCAAAGAAAATTACTTAAGTTGCTTATGGTTTCTCCAGTAAACTGATATTAGACTAATTCTAGAATATACATTATAAGCTACCTATAGGTAATATCTTCTCATGTCCTTCTGTCATTTGCTCCCATCCTAGTTAGACCAGGTTTGCACTAGTTCTCTCATTGGAATTTTTCGAATTGGAAATCTTGATAGGTTCTAGAATCAGTTTTTTACCTGAGCCAGTTGTAGGTCTTAGGGCCTGAACATGGTGAGCTGATATTTGTTATAGCCAACATTACATTGTTTATATACCCACTATATATTGTTTCTGGTAGAAATATTTTTTGAAGATGTATGAACAGTTTTAAACTTCATTTTTGTAGAACTACAGAGCGCTCCAAGGATCAATGTGGTGTTACAACTGCACAAAATGTTCGTTTAAAGTCTCAGACCAGTGACCATACTTGCAAGACACCAACAGAGTCTAATTTGGATTCTGGAAAGTGTAAAACTTCAGTTTTGGAAGAAAGGTATGCATGTATTCTAAGATTAATAAGTTTTACTTATTTATATTAGGTACCCATTGCTATGTAACCAGTTACCTCAAAACTTAATTTTGTTATAGGCTGATAAGCTTAAAAGGTTATGAAAAACAGCTATGGCAGTTTTAGGAGAAAAATGATAAGTAAACTTAAATACATTAAACATATGTATTATAAAAACATGGATTTTTATGGTTTATTTATTTTTTCTTAAGTGGACCATCCAGGATCAAGAACTATTTAATGTTTGGGAAGAATAATTCTGATGCGTGTGATGAAGAAGTTCAGGAAAGGTTAGGTAAGTTATTGTTTATTTCTACTGTATTGATTTTTATGGAATTATATATATATATTATAAGGTATGATGTGTTTTATTTAGTTAAACTTGCACTGATGGGAAATATTTATTGAGACTTACAATATATTTAGAGATTTGTAAGAGGCTAATAAAATGTTGGCATGTAAGGTATCTGCTCCATTGTTGACAAGGGGACACGTGACGCAAAATTAACTATCTATTGGTCGTTGCTGAAGCTGGGTGATGGATGTTTGAGGTTCATACTGTTTTCCTCTTTTTTGAATAGTTCTGAAATTTTTCATATAGGTTTTTTAAATACTTTATTTTAAAAAAATTGGTTCTTTTTAGTTATACATGACAGTAGAATCCATTTTTGACATAATCGTATAAGCATAGAATATATTTTGTTCTAGTTCAGACCCCATTACACTTTTTCCCCTTCCCTCTTGCCACCTCCTGCTTCCCGTCTCTATTGATCTTTCTGCCATTTACCATATTTATTTTTTAAATTACTTTCTAGTGGATTTACACCACGAGATTTACTGTGATATATATATTTTTTTTTTATTTTACTTTTTTTTATTGTTGGTTGTTCAAAACATTACATAGTTCTTGATATATCATCTTTCACACTTTGCTTCAAGTGGGTTATGAACTCCCATTTTTAGCCCATATACAGCTTGCAGAATCACATCAATTACACATCCATTGATTTACATATTGCCATACTAGTGACTGTCATGTTCTGCTACCTTTCCTATCCTCTACTATCCCCCCTCCCCTCCCCTCCCCACCCCTCTTCTCTCTCTACCCCCTCTATTGACCTTCATTTCTCCCCCTGGTATTATTTTTCCCTTTCCCCTCATTTCCTCTTGTATGTTCTTTTGTATAACCCTGAGGGTCTCCTTCCATTTCCATGCAATTTCCCTTTTCTCTCCCTTTCCCTCCAACCTCTCATCTCTGTTTAATGTTAATCTTCTTCTCATGCTCTTCGTCCCTACTCTGTTCTTAGTTACTCTCCTTATATCAAAGGAGACATTTGGCATTTGCTTTTTAGGGATTGGCTAGCTTCACTTAGCATAATCTGCTCTAGTGCCATCCATTTCCCTGTAAATTCTATGATTTTGTCATTTTTTAATGCAGAGTAATACTCCATTGTGTATAAATGCCACATTTTTTTTAATCCATTCGTCTATTGAAGGGCATCTGGGTTGGTTCCAAAGTCTTGCTATTGTGAATTGAGCTGCTATGAACATCGATGTAGCAGTGTCCCTGTAGCATGCTCTTTTTAGGTCTTTAGGGAATAGACCAAGAAGGGGAATAGCTGGGTCAAATGGTGGCTCCATTCCCAGCTTTCCAAGAAATCTCCATACTGCTTTCCAAATTGGCTGCACCAATTTGCAGTCCCACCAGCAATGTACAAGTGTACCCTTTTCCCCACATCCTCGCCAGCACTTGTTGTTGTTTGACTTCATAATGGCTGCCAATCTTACTGGAGTGAGATGGTATCTTAGGGTGGTTTTGATTTGCATTTCTCTGACTGCTAGAGATGGTGAGCATTTTTTCATGTACTTGTTGATTGATTGTATGTCCTCCTCTGAGAAGTGTCTGTTCAGGTCCTTGGCCCATTTGTTGATTGGGTTGTTAGTTATCTTATTGTCTAATTTTTGGAGTTCTTTGTATACTCTGGATATTAGGGCTCTGTCTGAAGTGTGAGGAGTAAAGATTTGTTCCCAGGATGTAGGCTCTCTATTTACCTCTCTTATTGTTTCTTTAGCTGAGAAAAAACTTTTTAGTTTGAGTAAGTCCCATTTGTTGATTCTAGTTATTAACTTTTGTGCTATGGGTGTCCTATTGAGGAATTTGGAGCCCGACCCCACAGTATGTAGATCGTAGCCAACTTTTTCTTCTATCAGACGGCGTGTCTCTGATTTGATATCAAGCTCCTTGATCCATTTTGAATTAACTTTTGTGCATGGCGAGAGAAAGGGATTCAGTTTCATTTTGTTGCATATGGATTTCCAGTTTTCCCAGCACCATTTGTTGAAGATGCTATCCTTCCTCCATTGCATGCTTTTAGCCCCTTTATCAAATATAAGATAGTTGTAGTTTTGTGGATTGGTTTCTGTGTCCTCTATTCTGTACCATTGGTCCACCCGCCTGTTTTGGTACCAGTACCATGCTGTTTTTGTTACTATTGCTCTGTAGTATAGTTTGAAGTCTGGTATCGCTATACCGCCTGATTCACACTTCCTGCTTAGCATTGTTTTTGCTATTCTAGGTCTTTTATTTTTCCATATGAATTTCATGATTGCTTTCTCTATTTCTACAAGAAATGCCTTTGGGATTTTGATTGGCATTGCATTAAACCTATAGAGAACTTTTGGTAATATCGCCATTTTGATGATGTTAGTTCTGCCTATCCATGAACAGGGTATATTTTTCCATCTTCTAAGATCTTCTTCTATTTCTCTCTTTAGGGTTCTGTAGTTTTCATTGTATAAGTCTTTCACCTCTTTTGTTAGGTTGATTCCCAAGTATTTTATTTTTTTTGAAGATATTGTGAATGGAGTGGTTGTCCTCATTTCCATTTCAGAGGATTTGTCGCTGATATACAGGAATGCCTTTGATTTATGCGTGTTGATTTTATATCCTGCCACTTTGCTGAATTCATTTATTAGCTCTAATAGTTTCTTTGTAGAGCCTTTTGGGTCTGCTAGGTATAGAATCATATCATCTGCAAATAGTGATAATTTAAGTTCTTCTTTTCCTATTTTTATGCCTTTAATTTCTTTCGTCTGTCTAATTGCTGTGGCCAGTGTTTCGAGAACTATGTTGAACAGAAGTGGTGAGAGAGGGCATCCCTGTCTTGTTCCAGATTTTAGAGGGAATGCCTTCAATTTTTCTCCATTCAGAATGATGCTAGCCTGAGGCTTAGCATAGATTGCTTTTACAATATTGAGGTATGTTCCTGTTATCCCTAGTTTTTCTAGAGTTTTGAACATAAAGGGATGCTGTACTTTGTCGAATGCTTTTTCCGCATCTATCGAGATGATCATATGGTTCTTATTTTTAAGTCTATTGATGTGGTGAATAACATTTATTGATTTCCGTATATTGAACCAGCCTTGCATCCCAGGGATGAATCCTACTTGATCATGGTGCACAATTTTTTTGATATGTTTCTGTATCCGATTCGCCAGAATTTTATTGAGGATTTTTGCATCTAGGTTCATTAGAGATATTGGTCTGAAGTTTTCTTTCTTTGAAGTGTCTTTGTCTGGTTTAGGTATCAGGGTGATGTTGGCCTCGTAGAATGAATTTGGAAGTTCTCCCTCTTTTTCTATTTCCTGAAGTAGCTTGAAAAGTATTGGTATTAGTTCCTCTTTAAAGGTTTTGTAAAATTCTGCTGTATACCCATCCGGTCCTGGGCTTTTCTTAGTTGGTAGTCTTTTGATGGTTTCTTCTATTTCCTCAATTGATATTGGTCTGTTTAGGTTGTCTATATCCTCCTGACTCAATCTGGGCAGATCATATGACTTCAGAAATTTATCGATGCCTTCACTATCTTCTAATTTATTGGAGTATAAGGATTCAAAATAATTTTTGATTATCTTCTGTATTTCTGAAGTGTCTGTTGTGATATTGCCTTTTTCATCCCGTATGCTGGTAATTTGAGTTCTCTCTCTTCTTCTCTTCGCTAGCATGGCTAAGGGTCTGTCGATTTTGTTTATTTTTTCAAAGAACCAACTTTTAGTTTTGTCAATTTTTTCAATTGTTTCTTTTGTTTCGATTTCATTAATTTCAGCTCTGATTTTAATTATTTCTTGCCTTCTACTTCTTTTGCTGTTGTTTTGCTCTTCTTTTTCTAGGATTTTGAGATGAAGCATGAGATCATTTATTTGTTGGTTTTTTCTTTTTTTAAGGAATGAACTCCAAGCAATGAATTTTCCTCTTAGAACTGCTTTCAATGTGTCCCACAGATTCCGATATGTTGTGTCTGTGTTTTCATTAATCTCTAAGAATTTTTTAATTTCCTCCTTGATGTCTTCTATAACCCATTGATCATTCAGTAACCTATTGTTCATTCTCCAAGTGATGTATGCTTTTTCCTTCCTTCTTTTATCGTTGATTTTCAGTTTCATTCCATTATGATCAGATAGGATGCATGGTATTATCTCTACTCCTTTATATTGTCTAAGCGTTGCCCTGTGACATAATATATGATCTATTTTTGAGAAGGATCCATGTGCTGCTGAGAAAAAAGTGTAACTGCTTGATGTTGGGTGGTATATTCTATATATGTCAATTAAGTCTAGGTTATTAATTGTGTTATTGAGTTCTATAGTTTCCTTATTCAACTTTTGTTTGGAAGATCTGTCCAGTGGCGAGAGAGGTGTGTTGAAGTCTCCCATGATTATTGTATGGTGGTCTATTAGACTCTTGAACTTGAGAAGAGTTTGTTTGATGAACATAGCTGCACCATTGTTTGGGGCATATATATTTATGATTGTTATGTCTTGTTGGTGTATGGTTCCCTTAAGCAGTATGTAGTGTCCCTCTTTATCCCTTTTGATTAACTTTGGCTTGAAATCTATTTTATTTGATATGAGTATGGACACTCCTGCTTTTTTCCGAAGTCCATATGAGTGATATGATTTTTCCCAACCATTCACCTTCAGCCTATGTATGTCTTTTCCTATCAAATGCGTCTCCTGTAGGCAGCATATTGTTGGGTCTTGTTTTGAGATCCATTCTACTAGCCTGTGTCTCTTAATTGGTGAGTTTAAGCCATTAACATTTAGGGTTATTATTGAGATATGGGTTGTTGTTCCAGCCATATTTGTTTATTTATGTTACTAAACATGGTTTGTTTTCCTCTTTGATTATTCCCCCCCCTTTACTGTCCTACCTCCCACTGTTGGTTTTCATTGTTATTTTCCATTTCCTCTTCCTGTAATGTTTTGCTGAGGATGTTTTGAAGAGATGGTTTTCTAGCT